CACCTACTCGGAGACCAATTGTAAGGTCGAGGCTTGGCCGCACACACTGGCCTGGGGAGTTTGTGCGTTCGGTGATGGCGGCTGCAGTTCGCATGGGAATCAGCGGTCGGCCGCGCGCAAGCCTCCCGTCTCTCAGCACGGTCGTGCGTGCTCGGCCACCACTTCGCGTGGCTACACCCAGTCAGGGTCGGCGTTTGGTCCACGTTTTCACAAGAAGTTACAATTCAAGGCTACCAAAAAGGAATGATTTTACCAAATTTCAAAAATTTTGGGGTCAACAAAACAACATATATTTCAGGTATTCCACAATTTCAAAGTCCAAGGGTTTCCAAAAATAGAAAGGTATAAGTCCGAGTTCCAAGTCCACTTCCTTTCCCAACGACACATTCTAATACGCGAAGAGATCAACGATTGAGATAGACAAGAATTCTCAATGAAATTCTAATACAGTTATTCAGCCGGGAATAATCTCCAATCAGCAGCTCCTGCCGAGAGATACATTAACTAGCTCGCCTCGACTCTTCCAACTAACAGCGTCGACCGACACGTCAGCTCTTCATCGGGTAGCTAATCGTGTCAGCAGTCCTAAACGAGCGCAACTCACTTCTCAATCTTCACACTTTGGAATTTGAACGCGAAGTTCCTCCCGAGATTCCGAAGGGAGGAAAAGAACAGAAAATTTATGATGAACAAGATTCAGAATAAGGACGGGTCTGCACTACGCGATGTGCTTGCTCCAGACTCGACTATCCTCCTTAAAAGATTTCTGCAAAATCTTTTAAGGTGGAAAAAAACACTCCATCCTCTTATCGAACCGAATTGTGCTGTCTTCAGCTCTTGTGCCTTTATCTCGATGCCGAGCGTGAACAATTATTGTCCCCCTTGAGGTTACGCTATTCACAAAAGCGGCGATAGAAAAATTTTGCCCTGGAGTCTTCGTGATATTTAGCGATGGCATTCGAACGAAACTCTCATACTTCGCAAGAGAATAAAGATAAGCATAAACAAAGAGATGCTTAATCTCACTTGAAATCAGGTTTTTCAAAACAAAGTCAATTCCCAACATAAAATAGACCAGAATTAGCTAATCTTCAAGAGAGGCGAGTTTTAAAGTTGGGAAGTTTAAAATAGTTTACACAACGAATCAAAAGTAGGGGAAAATCAAACGAAATCCTCAAAATACGAAATTTGGATAATAAAAAGAAGCCTCCATCACCCTTCAAAATTGTTTGCCATGCGAATGGGAAAAAGGTTTGCAAGAGTATACAAGAAGACAAGAATTTAAGAAAGGCAGCACGACTGCTTCGTCTTCACGAGTTCACGATTCTCTGTTTTCATCATCTGTTCATCATCTGTTTTCATCTTTGTTTTCAGCGGAGGAGCTGCTGCGATGAGGAGGTAGCGATCGGGGGTTGACGGAAACAGAACAGATCAAGGGGAAGGTGATCGGAAGTTATGGCGAGGGTGACGATCAAGTTCTCTGACTCGCGCGATTTGGGAGGAACAGAAAAAGAAAAATGAGAGAAAAGAGAGATGCTGATCTCAGATCGTGAACAGAGAAAAATAAGGCAGTGATGGTTTTGGTTCTGTTGAGAGAACGAGCAGAGGGAAAAATCATATATATACAAAACACATTAGGTTAAGGATAAATCTTGATGCCCAAGCTAAAAGAAATCATTACACGCGCGAGAAACAAAAAGAGAAAAGATCAGTTGGGACGGGCCCGGTTCGGCGGGTCTCGGGGCACGGGTTCCACTTAGTTGGGCCGAAGGTTCGGTTCAAACGATTCAAGGAAAACGATTCTCTCGGGCTCAATATTCACGGTTTATCTTGCTAAAAAAAAGTGGCTCGATTCGCACGATAATTTAAAATAAATTCGGCTATCATTATAAAATATATTTCACACATTAATAATTAAATAATAATACACATTTTAATAAATTAATAACACTTAGACAATTAGGCAATTAATTCCATATTTAGACAATTAAGTAAATTGACAAATAAATCATATTAGACAATCAATAATTTATAGCATTTAATAATAATAATAACAACAAATAAATATAATTAATAATAATAATAACAATAATAATAATAAAAATTCTCAAAATTCCATAATCAAAACGGGGCATTACATGGAGGACGAGGATCAACCTCCATGGCAGAAGTCATTTACCCTGGTGGCGGCGAAGCCGAGCGGGTGGACCGAGAAGCGGTCGAGTCAGCGGGCTTCGAGCTCGATCCCTCGGTCGTTTTCTTCTTTAGAGGAATCCTCCTCTTGGGCAAGGAGATAGCGGGCATCTTTGTAAGAAATCATGAACGAATTAGAGCCATAACAGGTAAATTGCATGTGAAACAAACACAACAATACTCAAGCATATTTAACAGCAAATACCTGGGTCATCTTCGACCCGGATAAGGTCGAGGGTTTCTTGGGTAGGAGGGGACGAGGATTTGTGGGTAAGAAGACCGCAAAAGTGTAAAAGGTTCTCATTTTCGAGGAGAGTTATGGACGCAATGGGCTTGCGGTTCCACACAGTAATTCGCTGGTCGAACAGAGCGCTTTGAGTAGGTGACGCATGCTCACGCTTCAGCTCTTTAAGCCATGGAGTCGGAGCCCAAGGAAAAGCAGGGCTAGGCTCGACGAAAGCAAACCTAGCTTTCCACCGGGGAACGTTGGAAGGAGTGTCCGAAATAAAATGGACATCATTACGGCTCTTGAGATAGAGCCCGTGAGAAGATTTCGAGGGTGTATAACAGTAATGAAAAAAGTCTAGGTCAAGTCGACCTAGACGGATATGACAGAGGATGATGAAAACGGTTATAAATCGAATGGCGTTAGGAGGAAGCTGGTTCAATGGAAGCTCAAACCATTTGCAAAGGTTGAGCAAGTCTTGGCATAAAGGAAAGCAGACACCAAGTTTGAATTGAATTTTGAAAAAGGTATAGCAATTTCTGGGAGGACAGTCATAAAGGTCCTTAGGACCAGGAGATACAAATGCCTATTTAGCCGGGTGGCCGACTTTATCAGTGTCTAGCCAACTGGCTATGAGAGCACGGGAAGAAGTCTTCGCAGAGGAGGAGATTTTGGTCAATTTGTCCTTTTTCTTAGTAGGCTTGGAAGAAGAAGAGAGAACGCGATGAGAAAGAATGACATGGTCCTCATCTTGCTCGAGGGCGACCTCAGCAGCATCGAGAGCCTCCTCAATCTCGTCAGAAGCCCCGAAGGCTGGTCGGCGACGACGGGTGAGGGGAATGTGGTCGAGAGCATCATCATCTGATTCACCGATCAGACGACGGGGTTGAGGCGGAGGAGAAGAGGTGGTGTGATCGGAAGGACGGAAAATGTTGAGGGGGACAGGACAGTAAATTTCGTCCACTGAGCGAGAAGAAGAGGGAGGAACAGGCTGACGAGCAGGAGATGACGACGTAACGGTCGCATCTTCGCCGAAATGACGACTTTGCGCGTTAGAAGTAGCGGAATCTGAAAAGCAAAAGAAAGGAAAAGCAAGAGGAGAAGGAAAGAAACTAGGGTTCCGGGAGACGAAAGACGGGTTTTTTCTTCGCAAACGAAATGGAGAGATTTTGAAAGAGGAAAACCAACAGAGAAAATCGAAAATCGACAAAATAAGCACACGCAAACGCAAAATTAAAGCACAGAAGACTTACTCATGGTCCTAGTAGAAGACGGTTGCCGGAAAATGTTTGGTGAAGGCGCCGAGAGCGAGAAAATACGATTCGCAGTGGAAGAAATTAGGGAACAAGGCAATTCGAGATTTGCAAAAGTGAGAAAAAGTCGAAAAATCTGCTAAGTACGATATTTATACAGAGGCATAAGGTGAAGGGTCGGTGGAAATAGCCGTTAGATGAGAGCGAGATCCGACGGCTGGGAGAATTAAACGGGCACAGATAGCGAAGCGGCGCAGATCGCGAGGAGACGTGATGATTAAAGGTACTGGATTGAAAGGACGCGTGGCAGACGGAAATCGCGCTAACAACAAAGGGAAATAAAGGGTGGACGAAATGCGTCATAAAACTGGTCAAATGGTCGAGAAGTGGGAGCAACGTTGGTCGGATGATCGAAGAAGGAGACAAAACTCAACCAAGAGGTCGAAGAGTCAACAGATCGAAGAGGCAGACACCAGTTCACTCTTGAATCGAGTCATTCAGACTCGACCAGAGTGGGGGAGACTAGATGATATGGGATACTCTATGCCTAAAGAATAGACCGGTTTACCACATTGGTCGGGCGAGCTCGAGGTCGAGAAAACTGTATTGGTCGAGCGATAATCGACCAAGAGGGAAATGATCGAGCAGGATAGCAGATGTGGTCGATGATCGACCTAGCGAAGGGGGACTCGGTCAGATCGAGCACTTGATAGGTGAAGGGTAATCGAGGGCGTGGCTTGAACGCAAGAAAGCGCGTGGGCTTAGTCTGAAGATCCTAACGAAATGTGCAGAGAATAATCTCCCTCTGCTCAGAGGGATACATGGCGAGAGTACATTGGTGCAGAGCAATAGTGGCGATAACCACCTCTGACACCTCTGACACACGCACACTGTGTGTGTACGGATAGGCAGCGCGGGTAGGACAGCTCACTAAAATCCGGGCAGCTCCTAGGGCAGGTATCTCACTCCTATATATATAAGAGTGATCCCTTTCTTGTTACTTACGATTTATCCATTACATACTTTGGAGAATTGAGTAAAATATACACTGATTTAAGCATCGGAGGCTCTTCACCGGAAAAACCCCCCGGTGTGAGTTCTTTGCAGGTGCGTTCTACCGGCGAGGAAGAGGAAGACGAGCCGATTTCAGGCCGGTCGGAGTGATTTGCGTTACCAATATTATTATTAAATAACCTTTTATTTTAACTGTTATTATAATATACAAAGTTTATATTTTATTTTTTTATTATATACAAAGTTTATATTATTTTTTATGTAATTGCACATGATAGATTTAACAATAGACTACTAGTTAAGATGGTGGTTGGCTAATGCAATTACAGCCATAATTAATGTTGACGGCTGTGTTTGTATGAACTACGAACTGATGAGCGGAGGTACGACTGTAAAAAAGATCGCTGGTAGCCGTAGGACAGCCAAATATAGGTTCCCACCAACCTAACCACTCCAATCCAATTTCCACAATATATAATCACACTACACTTCCAAACCCTATCTCTCTCTCTCTCTCTCACGCATTTTCGGGTCCCTTCTCCAACACGAGAAGCCACGGCGCAATGGCGGCTGCACCTACCCATTTCTCCGCTTCCACAACCGCCTCCTCTTCTAAACCCTTAATGCCTCCTGCTCGAGCGCCGGCTACCTCCTTCGGCTTTCTATCATCCTCGTCCCCTTCCCTTAATCCGCTCCGGGCCTCGTCTCCTTCTTCCTGCTCTGCTCTGGCGGCGTCCACCCCCGCCATTAAGCCCCCGGCACCCCTGGATTTCCACACGCCACTCTTCACAAAGGAGAAAATCAACCTCGCCGGTGACGATGAGGTATAGATTGGGTTTTACCATTTGATGTTTGTGTACGTCAGTGTGATAGTGATTTTTTCAACACCGGATCGATGAAAATGCATTGCTGCAATTATGATTTTTTAGCTCGAGGAATGTAATGCTTTTACGTTTTTCCATCCAAGGTTAACTAAGTTGTTGTATTACCTAGGAAATCTCTGATTGTGTGTTGAATGTGGATGAATCTTTTATATTCCTTTGTTTGTTAGCTACACATTTTTTTCCCCGTCAAATGTATGTATATACCCTTGAGTTGTCATTTATTTTGTTACTTCATGGTACTGTAACATGCAGACATTCCATGGATAGAGTATTTATGGTTTGGACAACGCTGTTTTATGTTACTGGTGAAAATTTTATTGTTGGAATTCTTGGTGAGATATTGAAAAAGTCAGCTGGACAAAATTATGTCCATATGCCTATTTCTGTAACTCCATAGGCCTTTCGGAGTTTGATATTGGAGTGATAGTGCTATCTGTCTTGTATGCAGTACATTGTAAGAGGTGGAAGAAACTTGTTTAAGTTGTTGCCAGATGCATTCAAGGGTATAAAGCAGATTGGAGTCATTGGTTGGGGCTCACAGGTAACTCCTTGTTAGCCTGCCTTCAAGAAATGTTTAAGCATTTCATTAATTGTATATGATGTGTTTTTATGTACTCATGGTTGAATGTCATCTGGTTATTGCTTGGCCATGTTATACTAGTTGTTTCATATTTTGATCTGGGATGATAGTTTTCTTGAGAGGGAGCTAGTAGATTTATTGCAGGTTCACGTGTCGGTGAATTTACAAAATAAATATAGGGAGTATGGTGACGTATTGATTTACTTGTCCATGCTTGCATAACACGATAAATGCTTGTCAAATGCTAGTTACGCATTCTCACTAACTAACTCAAAGGTATTGTTTTGTGAAATTCTTGCTTTTTCCTTTTGAACTATTGTGGTTGGTTGAGAAAACAACAATCTTTTGCCTGCATATGTCCTTAATTTATGTTAAATTTGCTTGACTGTATTGATGAGGGAATTNGTAGGGACCTGCTCAAGCTCAGAACTTAAGAGATTCTCTTGCTGAAGCAAAATCTGAAATTATTGTCAAGGCAAATGTTTTTCTTATCAATTTCTGGCTAGGCTAATGTGGTATAGATGTGGAGAAAATGTGGTGAAGCCTTTTTCTAATCTTCCATGATATGTGTCATTTTTGTTGTGTTTGCTCCTGAATGCAGATTGGTTTGAGGAGAGGATCAACTTCATTCGTTGAGGCCCGAGCTGCTGGTTTTACCGAAGAAAATGGGACCTTGGGAGACATATGGGAAACTGTTTCCGGCAGTGATTTGGTGCTGCTTTTGATATCAGATGCCGCTCAGGTATTTTTTATTATGTGTACATGAGTGCATTAGTAGCTAATTCTTCTTCTTTGAAGCACATATGGCTTGCTGAATAATTTATGGTCTGTTTCAAAATGAATGTCTATTGAATAGTTTGAATGAAACTCTTCACTTGATAATATGTAATAATATGCTAACAGAAAATTTATTTGATTACATGTTTAAAATCTGTTACAAGTTAAATCTTTTTTGTATTATGTAGACATTGTGTGTTCTTAGCTTGCTGATTCTTGCAGGCTGATAACTACGAGAAGGTGTTCTCCCACATGAAACCAAATAGCATACTTGGACTTTCCCATGGGTTCCTCTTGGGTCATTTGCAGTCAATGGGTCTCGACTTCCCCAAAAACATCAGTGTGATAGCTGTATGTCCCAAGGGAATGGGACCATCTGTAAGGAGGTTATATGTTCAAGGGAAGGAAATTAATGGTGCTGGTATTAATTCCAGTTTTGCAGTTCACCAGGTATTTAATATTTTTAGGTGTATGAAGAGTTGCTAGATTTGTATCATGGTGTTGTTTGAATAATTTGTTGGGTTTGTCTCTTCTGTAAAGGATGTTGATGGGAGAGCTACTGATGTTGCCCTTGGGTGGTCTGTTGCCCTTGGTTCACCTTTTACTTTTGCCACCACATTGGAGCAGGAGTACAAGAGTGATATCTTTGGGGAGCGAGGTAAATATTCTTTTTTTGTTTTTTTTGTTTTGGTAAATATTACTGCTCCCCATGGCCTCTACATGCTTGATGATTCACTATGTACATTCATAGGCATTTTGCTTGGCGCTGTGCATGGTGTTGTGGAATCCTTATTCAGAAGGTACACTGAAAATGGAATGAGTGAGGATCTTGCTTACAAGAACACTGTGGAGAGTATTACCGGAATCATATCGAAGACTATATCAACAAAGGTCAGTCTCTTGGACATTATTTTCACTTGTGTTCATGTTTATTAGATTGCTACTTTATTATTTTTTGCAGTATTGTTTGGTATTTTTTTCCAAGTGCCTTATTTTACTGAATCCTTTACCGGGCACTTTAATAGGGTATACTGGCTGTCTATAATGCATTAAGTGAAGATGGAAAGAAAGAATTTGAGACAGCATACAGCGCTTCGTATTATCCATGCATGGAAATCCTATACGAGTGCTATGAAGATGTAGCCACTGGCAGTGAGATAAGGAGTGTTGTCTTGGCTGGCCGTCGCTTTTATGTATGATAATGGATTGCTACTCATTATTTGATCTCATGGCTATCAGAGCTGTTTATTGATATTTTTAACTTTCTTCATGAAGGAAAAGGAAGGTTTGCCTGCTTTCCCGATGGGCAAAATTGATCAGACACGGATGTGGAAAGTTGGGGAAAAAGTTCGAGCGGCACGTCCAGCTGGCGACTTGGGACCTCTTTACCCTTTCACTGCAGGGGTCTTTGTTGCCCTCATGATGGCCCAGGTGAGTTGTCGTCATAGTCATATTTCTCTTGAGATTCAAAATGGAGATATGTAGATAAAGTGCGTTAATCGTTATTAGATTGTAGGATCTGTAGCAGCACATTTTACAGATTACATGAATGAATGGTTGATTGAGGGATTTCAAAAATTTCTCGTTACAAGGAATGAATTTCAAGTGTGCCGAAACATCTGGGGGTATAATTGTCATTTATTACCAGAACTGAGATTTTGGGTCTCTCATAGTGAATAAAGCGCACTCATAAATCTTTTGCGCTAACGTAAAGTTACACGAACCTGAAATGATATTTCAATTTTTCTGCACTTGTACACACAGATTGAAATTTTACGGAAAAAGGGGCACTCTTACTCGGAGATCATCAATGAGAGCGTGATCGAGTCAGTTGATTCATTGAACCCGTTCATGCACGCGCGAGGTGTCTCGTTTATGGTGGACAACTGCTCTACAACGGCTCGGTTGGGATCAAGAAAGTGGGCCCCAAGATTCGACTACATTATAACTCAGCAGGCTTTGGTTGCAGTGGACAATTCTGCCCCTATAAATCGGGACCTCATCAGCAACTTCCTCTCGGATCGCGTGCATGAGGCCATTCAAGTATGTGCTCAGCTAAGGCCCACCGTTGATATTTCGGTGCCCCCGGATGCTGATTTTGTCCGTCCGGAGCTCAGGCAAACTGCCAACTGACCTCACTACATTCTGTTTTTTCTTGTACAACTATGTTGATGTAATTTGCTACTTTGGAGTGTACTGAGATAATGATATAGCGTGGACTTACACACTAGTAGCTTGTCTTCGGCAATGAAATGAAATGAAACAAAATAAAATGTGGACTTACACACACTAGTTGGACTTTGAGGTTGTTAGTTTGGTATTCGTAGATTGAACTCAAATCTATATCCATATAAAAAGTTTAATATTTACTTGAAAAGTAACTAAAATCCTACCAGAAAATTTAAAACTTACTAATCTTGGTAATTTTTTTTTTGAATCAATAATTTTAAATTTTAAAATTGTTTTGAATTCATTTTGTGGTAAATTTCATCAATTATGGGAACAAATATATTCTTTTTTGTTAAGGCGCATACTTTTCTTTTATCTATAAAATTGTTTCTTTTGCTCTGTGATGATACAAGAAATACCTGACGTTAGTAAGAGGACACGTGACGATGATGTATGCTCCGACGTCCTCCTTGGTGCATCTCCTTTGCTCCGACGCATGCAAAACAGAACCCCGAGGTTGTCCCCAGGGGTAGATCCTCCAATGCCTAAGTTATAATCGGTTTTAGGTTTTAGGGTGGTGGCTGTAGAATGAGTAGAGAAAAGAGTCCGTCCCTTACCTTGACCTAGGTCATCTTTTTATAGAGGTCGGATGACCTAAGTCTTCCCAGCCCACTAGCTTAGTGGACTATGGTCCACCAGATGGGCCACCTTTAGGCCTTGGGCCTAAAGTGAGACTCCTCAGGCCCTTGGGCCTAAGGTGAGACTCCTCAGGACCTTAGGCCTAATTTGAGGTTGGGCTTCAGCCTTGACGGAGTACACGTGTCTTTATTCTCCCGAGCCGCGTGTCGCCTAATAAATGTATATTTTTTTCCTTATCACTTGCCCCCCATTTTATGTACGCGGTAATTTTTACGCGTACAAAAAATAAGCGATGAGACATTTACAGATGAATATTTTCATTTGGTGACTTTCCAGTAAGTTGCGCAGACAGACAGTCAAGCTGTTTGCTATAAAATGGTTCACTCTCATTTCTCTTCTCACTTTTAACATTCCCTCGTCATTCTGCATAGGGAAGACCAAGGTCATCCGACCTCTATAAAAGGATGACCTAGGTCAAGGTAAGAGACAAACTCTCTTCTATACTCATTCTACAGCCACCACCCTAAAACTTAAAACCGATTCTAACTTAGGCATCGGAGGATCTACCCATGGGGACAACCCCGGGGTTCTGTTTTGCAGGCGTCGGAGCATACATCATCGCCACGTGTCCTTTGACTAACGTCAGGTATTTCTTGTATCATCAATATGAATGCATGTTATCCTAAAATAATGATTTATTATTGTGGTTTTATGATGAGATTGTTACCCCTTCAATGTCGTCTGGTCGATTTTGCCAATACAATTACGAAACATTAATATGCTAATTTTGGAATAGAATGGACATAAAGTAAATCGGTGGTTGATAAAAGGAAATAAAAAGCATAAATGGGGAAAATAGAGACACAGATTTCACCGGTCTATTGAGATGCCCTGCAAAGAGAATAGTTGATATGTTTTCTCCGGGGAAAATCTATACATATATATATATATATATATATATCTTATATATATATCTATATATGAAAATGTGTATGGCCTTTAAATGGCGACAAGTAGCTTTTTGTTTAGGCGACACATGTCATTTTTTTGAGTAATTACTTAATTGCCCCTTATTTGACCTAACCAAAGACTTCTTTTTGGGCATAAATTGGTCATTTTTGTGAACATTTCTTTGCCTCTGTTCGCTGCTTTATCTCACAATCCATCATTTCCATTTCCTCTCCCACCAAACCCCACCCGTCGCCATTCTTTTTGCGTGTCCCTTCATTCCAGGCTTTCAGTAGATTTCTTATCATCCGAAGATCGCACAGAAAATCTGCTTCAAGCTTTCTTTTACTTTTTCTTCTTTCCCGAAAATCACTCTCTCTTCTTTGTTACCTTTTCTTCTTTCTGCCATTACTGTGCTTTCTTTTACCTTTTCTTCTTTCTGAGTTATAGAACCTAAACTCTCTATCTCTCTCTATTTCTCAACTCTTGTCGGCAAAATTAAGAAAACACCAGCGGCGGCGAGGCGCCGGCACAGCGAGCGGTGAAAGGCATGGCGAGGCCACGACAATCGGTGAAAGACGAGCGGCGAATGCGTGCGACAAGCGGTGAGGCGGAGGCACGACAAATGGGACAGATGAGCGGTGATCTACGAGTAGTGAGGTGGCGACACGACCCTCAGTGATACAGTGACTCCAACTTCCAGTTCAATTACAGAGTTGATGAAATCCACCAGGTAAATTGAAGGAGCGAAGTTGCGCCCTAATTATAGAAAATCACATTCTACAATTGAATTTTTTGGTTACATCTGTTAATTAGGGCTAGATCCGAGAGACTGTCGATCATTGCAAACAAAGCCATCGTCCTGGACTCCAAGCCAAGTCTTCATGGTTAATCGCTCGCCTTAGATTCTAATTCCACCCTCCTGTCGTTCCACTCTCAGTCAATCACCGGCAGCAGTCGCCAAAAACTTTAAAGCTTCAACTTTAGTGATCGTAGGGCAGCCACCAAAGACTTCCGGCGGGACAGCGTCTTAGGAGAGGGAGGCTTCGGCTCGGTTTACAAAGGTTGGATTGACGAGAGCACACTGGCGGCATCACGACCCCGCTCGGGTATCGTTGTGGCCATCAAGAGGCTGAAACAGGACGGGTGGCACAAGGAATGGTTGGTAGGTAAGATTTCGATATTTATGAATTCAACTAAAAAAAGAGAGAAATTTAACTTATTGTGGTTATTGAGTGCTTGTAGTTAGAATGGTTGGGATATTATGTGGATACTTTTGTGTACTTTATTATAAATTTTATTGCTGTAGTTCTTGTTTCGTGCATAAGTTATATTTGTTTTATTTACGCGCTTTAGGTTGTGTTGGCAGACTGAGATCAACTACCTGGGGCAGATTAGTCATCTGAATCTCGTGAAGTGAATCGGTAACTGCTTGGAGGATGACCACATGCTTTTGGTGTATGAGTTCATGCCAAAGGGTAGCTTGGAAAATCATCTATTCAGGTGTAAGTCCGGATTGTTCTTTTATTAATGGTCTTATATGTAGTGTTTGCAGATACCAGAAAAGAGTGATTTTCGACACTGTCCGAACTAAAAAAGAAAGAAAGAAAGAAAAAACTCCCATAATTTCTATACGGTTAAACTTTGGTGTCATTTATGCCTTGCAAACGTAGGGGCTTGTTGGGCTTGTTCTTATATTTTCATTGAGTATCCATAATTTCATATTGTGGGTTAGTATATATCTGTTGCCTGAATTTATGGATCTCTATTTTTATTTATTATTTGAAATAATTTTACAGTTTGTTAATGTTTTGATTGCTTTTGTTCTTTCGTTTATCCTCTCTTAATGTTTATCAAGATTTCAGTGACTATATTTGTGTAAATTTTAGTTATTTCGATTTGATTTCATTTGTTTGGTTGTTTAATGGAGTTGGTTGGGGGCAAATTATTTGTTTCGTTAATCTGTTTGTTGAATTGTTGTTCATGTACTGTGTGCATCTTGTGAGGTATGCTTGATATCATCTAATATTTCGAAAATTTTGGATTTGTTGTATTGTATGTTGATATTTATTTTCAACTGTAATGTGCTCAATTCATGAGGTGATAGGTTAATTTGATTCACCAGGATCGTTTTCAAAACTCGGACTCGGACTCGGAGTTTTTTTTTTTTTTTTTGAATTTTCCCATTCAGCCTTTGGAGTAAGGGTTTCATGGCGCATCATTATTGCACCCCTTTTTTTTGCTTGCCGACGCTGACACGTGGCGTTAGATGGTCATGTGATGATGTCAAAGGGTGGCGGTGTTTCTTACACTGTGTGGCAAAGTGTGACGGGTAGGTTAGTATACATTAAGAATTAAAATTGGCTTTGGTGGAAGAGCGTCGGTCCACGTACTCAATTGAGCTCTTCTATCCCGTAATAATATTTGATTCACATTAAATGAACTTGTTTTCAAAGTTTGATTTTAATTATATTTATCAGGCTGAAAGATAGATTGGGATGTGAGCCTTTAGATGAGCAACTTGCAACGTCTCTTAGGATTAAACACACTAATTAACAGTCCAAATTGATCAAATTTGTTCACTGGCAAGAGAAAAGTTGACAAAGATACAACATGGCTGCCGAAATGGCTAACCTTATTCAGGTTACTTTTTCTTTTCTGCTTGCTCCAGGGTATATGTGTTGCTCTAATTTCAGCAGGACAAACTGAATTTTCTTTGGGTTCTGCTGGTCTGACTGGGTTGCTTGGAGGAATTGAGAAATTTGATTCTGCGTGTGTGCCTGTTGGTTATTTTATCATATTGTAATGATGATTTTGTGATTGATTAATATTAAGTAATTTCAATCCACTTTGACGATATCGCCAAATGTCAAATAATTATTTTCATATGAAGCGGACAGATTAATCTCAAACTTTTATTTTTGTAATTCTTGATTTACCACGTTAATTTTCAGACACATTTTATTTTACACACATATGACAAAAGGTTTTATGGATGACGTTTGACACAGCTTGAGCTAAATTATTTTTTAACAATAAAAGTCAGCTTAATTTAATGCTTGTAGGTGAAAAACCGTTGGAAATGAAGCATGCATGTGCCGAACCATGTTGTCAACCATGCATCTCAACTTCCTGCAGAATTCTGTAGCCTTCACATGAGAGGCAACTGGTTATTGGCTTTGATTGTGAGGGGGTTGATCTATGTCGAGACGGGACACTTTGTATTATGCAGGTTCCTTTTATTCTGATTTGTTTTTTTATTTTTATTTTTTTTTTTGTATTTTGGAGAAAAATAGACTTATTATCTAGGTGTCAAGAATACCTAAATTTTATTATTTATTTCATATCTTTTTTCTTTGCACTAACTCCACAGTGAATTGTGGTAGAAGTCCATGTGAGTAAGAAACTTCATGAAGCCATTCACATGAAATAAATGTCTACTTAACATATAGAGCTGGTCATGCTACTTTTCTATACAGTAATGTTTTCTTTCTTTATTTTTGATTTATTTTCCTGGTTGTGTCTGCAGTTGATAGGAAGATTTAGAGAGTGAGTAATGGTGAAGGTCCCGGATTTATCCATTTGCAAATGGGTACAAACTTTTTCAGGACATGTTGAAAAATGCAGGTGTAAGTCCTCGTTAGGTTATTTCTTTTGTAATATAATTGATATATTATTACATATTTACTAAAACAACATTTGTTTGTTAATTATTTAATTTTGGCTACCATTGGCGGATTAGGTTTCAATGCTGACTGTTGATTGTTACGGATGACTTTTTAGGGGAAAATGAATGATTCCTGGTTGCGATTCTTGTGTTGGATTGAGTCGCTCTCTCAGTTACAGCAAAACATGGATCTCTTTTTCAATACAAGGAACAACTTAACGACAATTATGAATGAGTTAGTTTCTCTCTATCTAACGCGATTTTGGTTTTTCTTTATTGTCTGTTTTGGTAGTTCCACCGCATGGCTAAGGGAAATCAAGAGATTGGATTTCTACTTCGCCGCCAAAAAGGGAATTAGTTTTATCTCTAATCCTCCAATTAGCTGGAAGACTTTATTCCACAACAAATGAAGCTCTAGATCAAAGGTAGAAAGCCAGTTTGGCAGAGTAGAGGAAGGAGAGTAGGTAAAGGAAAGATAAAAAGAGCTCACAACCTTTGTGCCTAATGTATTCCTGGTATATGAAATATCTAACCGCGATTTATTATTAAAAAGGGAAAGGCGTGAACTTTGATTCGAGCCGGGTATCTGAGATGGATCAGGTGACGCCCTACATAAATTGAGCAACATTTACAAACATTTATGATTGTTTTGATTTTCTTCATGTATGGAAGACCTAAAATGGCTATTTACTTGGACAAATAATTTCATCGATATTTTAGACTAAATTTGAGTCCGCCGTGCGTGCACGGCGTGAGACAACTAGTATGTATATATATATATATATATATATATATATATAAGTTTGTATTTACCTGAAAAACTAACTAAAATCCCGCCAGAATATTTAAAACTTACTAATCTTGGCAATTTTATTTTAGAATTTTTGAAAAATCCCGCCATTGAATTCAAAAATTTTGAACTTTAAAATTGTTTTGAATTGATTTTGTGGTAAATTTCACTAAATATGGAAACAAATTTAATTACGATTTTAAATATAAAAACATATATTCCCTAATTAGATGATTCAACAGTAACACTCCAAATATTGAAATTATAAATTACAATCAGGCCTATAATATTTTATTCTATTTACAGGCTTTAGTATATAGCTGCATAATTGATTTGAACTTGTCCTACCATTCAAATTTGGAAATAAATATAAAAGTTAGTGAATTCTTTTTTTTTAAACAACACCCCAGGAGAGTGGGGTTACGGCCGAACCCTCAACCTGTATATAAAAATGACCTATGTTGATGTCGAAAATCGGATGATCAACCGTCGAATATGAATCGAGTTTCTTGTATATAAAAAATGAAGAACAAATATCATTAAAAATGGTGCTTCTTGTGTTATTTGGAGAGTGTTACTATCTCTCTCTCTTTTGGCATTGTGGGGAAGAAGAAAAATGAGGACAACTCATCCAACCACCTCTTCTCTCTCCTCATTTGCACATATATATACCCCCTCTCTACTGAGTTGTCGGGTATCATGAAAAAATGAATGGGATCCCCTTTTTTTGCTAAGGCCATTTGTATTTATATGGTCCTTTTTTACAAGTGGGGGAATAAATAAATAAAAAATGGTACATCATTATTTAATGTGAGATATTCATCGTGGGGCCCGCTTATGACTTCTGACGGCTTCGATTGACGTCGATCTGAGGCGGCTTCTGATTTTATCGGTATCGGGAACCTGCTTGTATATTTATTTATTTCGTATTTTCGGCTCCTCGGTTCTTGCGCTTCACCAGACCTGGCGAAGCGCAGGTCTGGTGACGGTAGAAGTAACAACGTTGGCCCGGTAGAGCAGGGGCTCGTCGGCGGGCGAGATATAGGTGCCGACCTGGCGAAGCGTAGGTCTGGCGATGGTAGAAGTAACAACATTGGCCCGGTAGAGTAGGGGCTCGTCGGCGGGTGAGATATAGGTGCCGACCTGGCGACGGTAGAAGTAACAAGGTTGGCCCGGTAGAGCAGGGGCTCGTAGGCGGGCGAGATATAGGTACCGACCTGGCGAAGCGCAGGTCTGGCGACGGTAGAAGTAACAACGTTGGCCCGGTAGAACAGGGGCTCGTCGGCGGGCGAGATTCTGTGTGTTGGCCATGATAACGCCGGGACTGATGGTCGCGGACGTCGGAGGAGAGCAGGTCGCCGGATTTCGAGCGTGAGAGGTGATGAGGGGCGATCGGATTTCGACTGGGGAGATGATGATGGTGGGACGATGAAAAATAACGAGAGGGGGAGATTGAGATGCGTTTTCTTCTTCTGTTGTGCGATCGATCAGGTGACGAGAGAATAAGGGTTGCGGCGATCGAAGAAGAAAAAGGGTTCTGCCTTTTCCTATGTCAGCCCGCGAGAGAAAAAAAAATATTGGGCCAAACTTTCAATTCACAAACTGGGTCTAAAGATTAATTCGAGATGGGCCAATGTCAAACGAAAGGTTCGGGCCGAAATATTTAATTCAAACAGTCAAATTAGGCCTGAAATAATATTAGCAAAAATGATCCGAGAATTAAAACAAAACTGGGCTGGGTCCATGGCCGGTTTCGACTACCGGTCTCTCGGGCTCGATTTAGCCAATAAATTATCTATTCGGTTCGATCGAACAACAATTAAAATAATAACTGGGATAATATTTACATATATAATACACACATTAATTAATTCATAATAATAAACATTTAGACATTTAAAGACAATTAGGCATTTAATTTAATAATAATAATAATAATAATAAAACAATAATAATAATGGCA